TTGTTCTGTATTGCCAAAGCGTATCCAGGTTAGGGTGACTCTTCGGTCGAATGCTCGCATGTCGAATTTCGATGTTCGGGTCGCCACGAGTTTTCGAGATATTTGTTGCTTGTTATTACTATGGCTTTGCTGGTGAACTTTTGGAAGCCTCCTTTTGTTTGAACCTGGTATGGTTTTGAATCGGCCAGATTCATAATTTCGTTTGGAGATATCCAACCGTAGAAGTCGATTATGACTAATTCTTGTTGTTGGTAGCCGTCCCACCATTTTTCCATATTGCTTGTTTTTATAAAGTAATCGTTGTTTAATTTTGTTGCAAAGGTGGTTTTTCCCATACCAGGATCGCCTATTATTAAGTATAGTTCTGTTTTTTCTTTTCTGTCCATTATGTATGTTTGTCCGTATTCAATTATTCTTCTTTTGTATTTCATGAGGTAGTCTGGATTTTCTTCTCCTATTTGTTGTAGTGTTATTTCTTTTTTCCTATATTTTATTAATAGTTCGTTATTAGTTCTGATATTTTTCTTTTTTCTTTGGTTTGGTTAGGTCTTGTTCCGTGTTCTTGGAAATCACCTTCTTTGGAGCAGTATTGAAAGTTTTGGTAGGGTGTTCCTTTTGCTTTTTCTATATGTGATCCTCTTGGTTATTTTTTAGGGTTATGAATCGTATTGTAGTATTAAATTGAAAATAACACTGCAAATGCTCATGTGTTGTTGTCGGACAGGTTTCTTTTCCTAGTATTGCGTATTTGAAGCCATGTCCATATCTTTCGAGAAGGCTTATGTCGAGGTTTTCTATGTCGAATATTGTTGCCGTCCAGTTTGTGGATCGGCTTTGCTTGGATGGTGTAGAGCTGAATGATGGTTGACCGTTCGGTGTGGTAGACATTGTATGGTATGATGATTGTCATTGACAACCTCGTCCTGGTCCCGAACAATTTCTTCTAAAATTAAAGGACAAGAACTAATTTCATTTTCATTTCAAATTTTCTTATTCTAACTGAAATATCCATGAAAATATTAAATTAAAATGCAAATGGAGTACAGAGTCAAATATATATTATAAGAAATTATGCAGTTCAAGATGACGTCAAGCCTTATATTTCGATATACAAGTTCTTTTTATTCTTTCCCGCCGTGAAAGGACTAATATTTTTCAGGTTCAAATTGAAATTAGATATCAGGAAGGTTATGATCATTCTTACTTTTTTATTGCATCATTTATTGATGATCATTTCGCATTTCACCACAAAATTCTGTCCAGACAAGGCGGTGGTCTGTAATTATAACTGCATGTAGTAAGTAGGCTCGCGGATTTTTATTACTTCGTGGTAACTCTTTGCGTTGGTAACAGAAGCAAAGGAATAATACCTTTTTCAAAACTATAACCTTTTTAACATCGCAGTGTAATCAGTTTACGTTCAAATTGTATACTTTGTTTTCATGATTTTGACAGTTTTGTAATGAATCAAAAACAGTTGTTCAGTGTTGACTGAAATGAAAATTTTTTTTTGCCAATACATACTATGTCACATATTGTTTTCATAAAATTAAGGAAAGAAATACATTAAAGATTTTGAAGAGAAATATCTGATCTTCTGCGAGTAGTTTAATGTCAAGGTTTAAAAACTTGTCTATCCAATTTAATTAGTCGCATTTCGCTTTTCCATTGGATGCATCAAATTTTAATCATTGATGTTGGCGCCTTTTTCATTGTCAAGAAGAATAACATACACATTTGATAGTATGTCATTTACTCTAGCTTTTAGATTTTCAATCAGCAACTGATTAATGCCATTATCATATATAATATAAGTAATCTTAAACATTTTTTGATTTCATAAAATAAG